TTCGATTTGTTTTCGTTAGAGCGTTCGAGTATTTCGTATAATACTCGAGCGCTTCCTCGTTGGTATGTTTATATCTCACCGTTGGTATGTTTCTCAGGTCTCGTCGTTGGCTTGCTCGCTCCACATGGTTATTAACCTTCATGGTTTCCGTTCCTTTCGCTTTCGTTTTCTTTTCTTGTACTAATCCGTTTCCTTTCAGGTACATATTAACAATAATATATTCAGTTTCAGCTTTTAGGTTTCTCAATATTCACAAGATTCCTTAGGACCTCATTTGCGACGCGAGATGCGTGCGTCTACTTTTAAGTAGTCATAAGATAGACTGCTAGGCTAAGTCCCATGTGCGCGCTGTCTGTACAAAGGTAAGCTACCTAACTTGAAGCGAATATATCTATTTTATATTCGTTCTTTCTCATCCCTCTCGTTCACCAAACAGAACGTTATCGTTCTCGCGATAGTCGCGATCTTTCTTAAGTACCGACTAGCCTACGCGACGTGCTCTCGTGTACTCGATAATATCATGCTTCGTAAGCCATCTTCACGACTCGTGTCCGACACTCATCCTCACCACTGCCACTCTTGTCATGCATCGGTTCTAGGGTGTTCGGCGGGTTGGGGGGCATCTGGAATCAATTCGAGGGTCTGTCGGCCTTAGTCGTCCTTGGCACCAGCGCGTGCACGACCGAGGTATGGGTCCTATAGCCGTTGACACTGCATAACGGCCTGCGGTCAGTCCCCATGGGATGATTAATTTCTCCCCCATGTGGCAGGGGCTGGCGTGACCGGTTATAAGGCCTCGCTAGGGGCCCTCGGCTTGGTTTTGGGTGTTTCTCTGGGTCGTTGAATACCTTCGTTCGCGAGTAAGTCATGGCAGAGTCTGTGGTGGCTGGGTGGGCTAGGTCCGATAGTGAGGGTGCCGAGGTATGAAGTTGTCTTGTACACGAGAGTACGTCGCGTCGACTAGTCGGTCTTTCGAATAATCGTGAACTCGTTCGGGCGCGTCGCGATTGTAACATAGTTTTTCTTTGCTTCCCCAATTTGTGGGAACTTAGAAATATTAGAGTCGCTTCAACTTAATTCGCTTCAGGTTAGATTAGATACCTTTGATACGGATAGCGCCAGCAGGCTGCGCCACTAGGGCGCATGTCGGGTCTCGACGCGTAGCCACCTCCACGTGGTGAGACCTGGTAATTGGTATCGTTTCCCAAAGAACAATTTTTCGGAAACGATTCCAAGCTGAGAGCTACGCTTCGGATTTAAGTTAATTGCTGTCTATTGTAAATTTTCATAGTTCCTTTTGAACTTCGTAATTTTTCCGTAATAGTATAACAAAATTTTAATTTTTCTTTGTCGTAGAGTGTTATGTCTTAGCTGCATTGCGCTTGGTGCTCGGATTTTGAGTAGCTAAGGCATTGTTGGTGTTAGCGAACAATGACTGCATGACACAAGCGTGTAAGTATACACATACCGTTTAATATTTCTTTCGAGTTAATGGAATTAAAAATGGTCTTGACAATTTGTACCATGGGTTCATTGCAGAAAAGTCTACAGAATACGATACCTACTATGCCAGCAGAGTTTCCTGTGAAATAAAGGTTTTGTCAAAATGCACGGATGGTGCGTATGGAATACCCTCGGCGGCTTATTTTTATAATTCGATGACCAATTATAATTATTCGTAAACACAAATAACTATACGTATGGACATTCATTGACTTTGGATACTCTTGTCTAACTTGTAAGGTAATAATGAATCTCCTAATGTTCTTATTTTTAATATAATACTTCGTTTTATCAAAAGATCGTATGTTTTCAGAAAATGCCAGAATTTTCAAAAACTAATGTTGATAGAGCTATTCCGATTACGGATTCATTTTCAGGAAAATAAACTCTACAAAAATTACCCAATGGATATTGTAAATTCAAATTCGTGTTAGACAGTATAATATGAGAGTCAAAAAATGTTCATAGTACTTTGCAAATTCTCATTTTGTATACTAATATCTTATCGAATATCTAAATGGTATGAGCTATGTTTATTATATATTCCGCAAACTTTTATACTAAACAATAATGTCATTTCTTTTTAAATAGTATATCCTTCAATTTCTTGACATTTCCATAGATTTATTCTGCATAGAGTATGATGACCTAATTTCGAGATTATGCTGCTTTAACGAAAGGTACAATTCTATTTGGGCAATTGCAAATTATGGGTCGTAGGTTGTCAAAAGCTTCTCAAATATGGAAATTTTGATGACTTAGTGCTTATGCTAGTAAACGTGAAAATGTAATTTTTACAGGATATTACGGTGATTACTCAGGTAAAGGAATAATGAGCCACAATGGATGTACTTCAGTTCCCCCTTGTTCACCAGGGATCTCTGAAATTTCCATCGTGATTTGTATGTGCAATACAAATTGCTCTTGCAATATTACGACGTCATCGGAGACATGGAAAACGTAATTAGATCTCGTTTTGTCTTTACATATAATTAATAGAAGTGATATAATGTACAAAATAAAATTAATGGTAGGATTTTTTGAATAAGTTTGTTTAGATTTATGTATCTTGCATTATTTATACTGCAAGAAGGTATAAATACAGTTGCACGTTGCAAAGTAATTCACAGACCGTTGGTAATGTAGAGAATATCGGAGAATAAAGAGATGTTAAATAAATCAGTAATGTAGAAGGCGGCCAATAATGAAGCTGTGATAAGTATTCGATAATCTATAATGTATACACAGATTAACTATGAAGAGATGATTAGTAACAGGACAATCGGTAGTGAAGAAAATAAATGTTACTAAAGAGGTAATAAGTAACTCGATAATGGCTATTGTAGAAAACAACTGCATCCCAAGAGGTAAGATGAAACTCGATAATCGGTAATGAAGAAAACTACTGTTGTTCAAGGGATAATAAGAAACTCGATCGTCGGTAATGAAGAAAATCATTGTTACGAAGATGTAATAAGAAACTCGATCGTCGGTAATATAGAAAACAACTGTTATCGAAGAGATAAAAAGAAATTTGATCGTTGGTAATGTAAAAATCAACTGTTATCGTGAAGATTATAAGTTGCACGATAATCGGTAAAGAAGAAAACAACTGTTACTGATGAGATGATAAGTAACTCGATAATCGCTAATGAAGAAAACATCTGTTTTCAGAGAGGTAATAAGGAACTCGATAATCAGAAATGTAGAAAACAACTCTTACCGAAGAGATGATAAGTAACTCGACAATCAATAACGTAGAAAACATCTGATACAGTTTAGGTGATAAGTAAGTTGTTAATGGGTAATGAAGATAACTACTGTTAATGAAGAGGTAATAAGAAACTTGATAATCACAATTTAGGAAAGAACCGTTACCGAATAGATGATAAGTAACTGAATAATCAGAAATGTAGACGGAAATTTCGAACTTTACCGATTCTTTTAAAATCTACTTTTTCGCTGTAATAGGCAATAATTTATTAACTTTTTTGGCTTCTGTCGTTAATATTCGTTGGTAACTATATATTATTAACAATTTTAATTTGGTGTTAATAATAAGTTTAATAATTTATTAACTTTTTGCAAGTTGTAGGTACATTTTAACACAAATTCGTTATATGTGCTAGTAGTAGCCAATAATTTAGTAATTCCTTTTTTTTTTTTTATATTTTGTATCTTTTATATTTTTATTTCCTCTACTTTCTTGGCTAGGATGAAGTATTGTAATTAAAAGTGAAACGATTAGAAGGTTCATTCTCATCTTAAAAATTAGGTGGGAGTTTTCAACAACTTTATATTTAAAAGCTATTCGTTTCTCCTTTTTTCCAAACATTTGCATGTATGTACGTGAATATATTTGATTAAAAATGAAAAGAAAGTATAGAAACGTCATTAATCGATACAAAGTGAATACATACACAGATATAAATTAAATCCTCGCATCAAATTTTTCAAAATTGTTAAAGTAACCATTACATCGGTAAATTTGCAAGTTGCATGGAACTTATACTTTCAATTTGACCATTTGTATCAGAATATATTTTTCACAAAACTCTTATTCTAATTTTCTCAGACACAAGGCCACGAGGTAGAAATGTATTGTCACGAGGAGAAGAAACCGCGCAGCACTCTGCCTCCACCATGTTACCATTGCAAGCTACCACCATTTTGTTGTCCAAAATACGGTTGTCCACCTCCGCAACAATATCCACCTCCAAGTTATTGTTGCCCTCCTTCATGTCCACCATTCGTACGTTTGAACATAAAATTCAATTTTATACAGAAGTTTTCATTCAGGGCTTGTATTTTGTGTAATATATATTTGGATTACGATACTAGGTTAAGTTCATATGCCTTTCTAAGACATTTAATGCTATTACATTGAGCAATTTCTTTAATAACGACCCATTTTATAAAACAAAACTTATATAAAAGTTGGTGAATGGTAATAAGGTTATGTCGGATCCAAAATGATCATACGTGGTAAGACTTCCTTTTCTTCCATCTATATCAATTAATAATTTATTTTATTCATACATATTAGTGATTAACATACACATTAACTTCCTTAGACATATTTATATAAAATTTGTAAACAAATTTCAAACTATGGTGCCTTCTTCTTGTTATACTTAATATGTACAGTACTTGCAATTTGAATAGCAGATAAGAAATACTGCAGTCATTAAATTCTTGTCTTGAATTTGATGTATATTACAGTATGATTCAATCTTTCGAGAAGACCAAACACATTTTCCTTTTCTATATTAATATAAATAATTATATATGAATATAATTTAATTTTAATAATATTTAAACATATATTTATACATATTTTATTTCTCTTCTAGATATGTAGACAACGACCTCAACCACCACCAAAACCACCTACCTTATATGTCGCAAATTGTTTACCACCACCTGGACCTGAACCACCGCGAAGTCCAGCTCCACCGAAAATAACGCCGCCTGCGTCCTGCGTACGTTACTGCATTCGTAACACATGCAATGGATCGATGTACGCTCCTTGTTACTTTTCGGACAAACCCAAATTTTCATGTTCGAAATGTTGTTGACTGACGATCTTGAAAATTGTATTATATTTCATACTACTCATTGTCGTAATATATATGTCAACAAAAATTTGACAGTCCCTGAAACTTTATAGACTCACGATATATATATAGCTATTAAAACAAATGTAATTGATTCAATGAATAAAAGATTTGAGGTTCCTACATCCTACAAACATTAATCACCTCCTAAAAAATGTTTTTTCTTGTCGTTCTTAACAGGTGACCAACTATTTATAATAATACACATTCCAGACGAACATGACACAAAGTAGCGGTGCTGCAGCAGAAGCAACTAGAATTCGGACATTGGAGGAAAAAGACAGAACATTCATTTGAAAATATGAAAAAATGCATTGACAAAGAAGGGGGAAAGTATGAAAACCTGCGAAAGAGGTCGTAGAGAGATTGATAAGAGGGCCGGGGACGTGATAGTGCTGTGAGCTTCCCAGCGATGCTAGGTTTGCGAGCTTTGGTCACGTGAGAGCTTACATTATGCCCTACGAGTACGTGTGCTTTTCGCGAGCCTTCGAGCTTGCGACATTTTTTGCCGATTTTTGGCTGTAAGATTCCGATCTGTGTGTGAGCGGAAAATTTGGACATTTTTCGATGTCGTCAGAATCGATTGCTGGGCGGACCACTCTGTTGCGCATGCGCATAGCTTTCATGTGTGTAAATTGCGTGGGCGTAGGTCACGTGGTTACAATTTTACAGCGTCTCAAAAATGGAATGTATGCTGCTGTATTTGTCGGTACTGCGAGTTACATTTGACGCTGCTGTGAGCTTCCTAGCGGTGCTAGGGTTGCGAGCTTTGGTCACGTGAGAGCTTACATTATGCCCTACGAGTACGTGTGCTTTTCGCGAGCTTTCGAGCTTGCGACATTTTTTGCCGATTTTTGGCTCTAAGATTCCGATCTGTGTGTGAGCGAAAAATTTGGACATTTTTCGATGTGGTCAGAATCGATTGCGGGGTGGACCAGTCTGTTGCGCATGCGCATAGCTTTCATGTGTGTAAATTGCGTGGGCGTAGGTCACGTGGTTACAATTTTACAGCGTTTCAAAAACGGAATGTATGCTACTGTATTTGTCGGTACTGCGAGTTACATTTGACGCTGCTGTGAGCTTCCTAGCGGTGCTAGGGTTGCGAGCTTTGGTCACGTGAGAGCTTACATTATGCCCTACGAGTACGTGTGCTTTTCGCGAGCTTTCGAGCTTGCGACATTTTTTGCCGATTTTTGGCTCTAAGATTCCGATCTGTGTGTGAGCGAAAAATTTGGACATTTTTCGATGTGGTCAGAATCGATTGCGCGGTGGACCAATCTGTTGCGCATGCGCATAGCTTTCATGTGTGTAAATTGCGTGGGCGTAGGTCACGTGGTTACAATTTTACAGCGTTTCAAAAACGGAATGTATGCTACTGTATTTGTCGGTACTGCGAGTTACATTTGACGCTGCTGTGAGCTTCCTAGCGGTGCTAGGGTTGCGAGCTTTGGTCACGTGAGAGCTTACATTATGCCCTACGAGTACGTGTGCTTTTCGCGAGCTTTCGAGCTTGCGACATTTTTTGCCGATTTTTGGCTGTAAGATTCCGATCTGTGTGTGAGCGAAAAATTTGGACATTTTTCGATGTGGTCAGAATCGATTGCGCGGTGGACCAATCTGTTGCGCATGCGCATAGCTTTCATGTGTGTAAATTGCGTGGGCGTAGGTCACGTGGTTACAATTTTACAGCGTTTCAAAAACGGAATGTATGCTACTGTATTTGTCGGTACTGCGAGTTACATTTGACGCTGCTGTGAGCTTCCTAGCGGTGCTAGGTTTGCGAGCTTTGGTCACGTGAGAGCTTGCATTATGCCCTACGAGTACGTGTGCTTTTCGCGAGCTTTCGAGCTTGCGACATTTCTTGCCGATTTTTGGCTCTAAGATTCCGATCTGTGTGTGAGCGAAAAGTTTGGACATTTTTCGATGTGGTCAGAATCGATTGCGCGGCGGACCAATCTGTTGCGCATGCGCATAGCTTTCATGTGTGTAAATTGCGTGGGCGTAGGTCACGTGGTTACAATTTTACAGCGTCTCAAAAACGGAATGTATGCTACTGTATTTGTCGGTACTGCGAGTTACATTTGACGCTGCTGTGAGCTTCCTAGCGGTGCTAGGTTTGCGAGCTTTGGTCACGTGAGAGCTTACATTATGCCCTACGAGTACGTGTGCTTTTCGCGAGCTTTCGAGCTTGCGACATTTCTTGCCGATTTTTGGCTCTAAGATTCCGATCTGTGTGTGAGCGAAAAGTTTGGACATTTTTCGATGTGGTCAGAATCGATTGCGCGGCGGACCAATCTGTTGCGCATGCGCATAGCTTTCATGTGTGTAAATTGCGTCGGCGTAGGTCACGTGGTTACAATTTTACAGCGTCTCAAAAACGGAATATATACTACTGTATTTGTCGGTACTGCGAGTTACATTTGACGCTGCTGTGAGCTTCCTAGCGATGCTAGGAGTGCGAGCGTTGGTCACGTGAGAGCTTACATTATGCCCTATGAGCACGTGTGCTTCTCGCGAGCTTTCGAGCTTGCGACATTTTTTGCCGATTTTTGGCTCTAAGATTCCGATCTGTGTGTGAGCGAAAAATTTGGACATTTTTCGATGTGGTCAGAAGCGATTGCGCGGTGGACCAATCTGTTGCGCATGCGCATAGCTTTCATGTGTGTAAATTGCGTGGACGTAGGTCACGTGGTTAGAATTTTACAGCGTTTCAAAGACGGAATGTATGCTACTGTATTTGTCGGTACTGCGAGTTTCATTTGACGCTGGTGTGAGCTTCCTAGCTGTGCTAGGATTGCGAGCTTTGGTCACGTGAGAGCTTACATTATGCCCTACGAGTACGTGTGCTTTTCGCGAGTTTTCGAGCTTGCGACATTTTTTGCCGATTTTTGGCTCTATGTTTCCGATCTGTGAGTGAGCGAAAAATTTGGACATTTTTCGATGTCGTCAGAATCGATTGCTCGGTGGACCAATCTGTTGCGCATGCGTATAGCTTTCATGTGTGTAAATTGCGTGGGCGTAGGTCACGTGGTTCGTATTTGATAGCGTTTCTAATTTAGCATGTGTGGAGCAGTCAATGTGTTATTTATCACGGATAATATTTTGATGCCCCTACGAGAAGTTTTCTTTCGATTTGTCGATTTTGGACTAGGAATATATAGTGTGATAGGAGGACATTTACCGATCACTTTCACTTAACGTTCTAATTATTCTGTTGGTATATATTTTGTATCGTTTGCGTGAGTATACTTATTATACATAGACTATAATTTGCAGAAGACTTTGAATTGTTTCAGTCGCGTTACTTACCTTGGTTCCCATACTTACCTTACTTACCTTACGTCCCTCACTTGAGTCGTCTTATTTTTCATATTACTCTCAGATATAGACCACTCTTCATTTTCAATGTTCAAGGAGAACATTAGAAATTTGCTAGAGATGACACACATCTTAAATTTTATGCGTAGCTCTTAGCTTGGCATAGTATCCCAAAGATTATTCTTTGGGAAACAATACCAATTTCCAGGTCTCACCACGTGGAGGTGGCTACGCATCGAGACCCGACATGCGCCCTAGTGGCGTAGCCTGCTGGCGCCATCTCTATCAAAGGTAGCCTAGCCTAACTTGGAACGAAAGTTGTTAAAGTGAAGCTACTGACACTTTATTAAATATCGTGCCTTAGAAAATGGACGCGATTATTCGAAAGACCGACTAGCCTACGCGTCGCACTCCCGTGTACAAGCAACTTCATACCTCAGCACCCTCACGATCGGGCCTTGCCCTCCCTGCCACTGTCGACCTCGCCGTGGCTTACTCGATGACCTAAGGCAGCCAACGAACCAGTGAAACACCCAGAGACAATCCGAGAGTCCTATGCGAGGCCTAACAATCGGAATCACGCGCATGCTCCATACCCCGGCTCTATGCAAACATAACCACATAGCCACCAAGTGCTAGAGGGGCAGGCAGGCACGCTCTTGCAATGATTCCGACTGCAGGGCCCATCCCCCGGTCGTGTGCACGGATTGGCACCCAGGACGACTAAGGTCGACGGACTCTCGTGTTGCTCCAGATGCCTCACCAGCCCGAAGGCCACCAGAGATCTCGATGCATGACGAGATTGACAGTGGCAGAAATGAGTGTCGGAGACGAGCCGTGAGGATGACTTACGAGGCGTGAAGTTGTCGAGTACACGGGAGGTACGTAGCGTAGGCTAGTCGATACTTATGAACAATCGCGATTATCGCGAGAACACTTATGTTCTATTTGGTAAACGAGGGGAATAGAGAATTGATATACTTCGCTCCAAGTTAGGTAGCTTACCTGTGAACAGATAACGCGCACATGAAACTTAGTCTAGAAATCTATCTTATAACTACTTACGATTACTTAAGTCTAAACGCGCGCATCCTGCGTCGTCCAACGATGTCTTGAAAAATCTGAAAAGTTGACAACAAAATATATAAACCTGAAAAGAGATGGATTAGTAACAAATAATTAAAACAAAATAAAAGCGGAAGGAATATAAACGACAAAGATTAACCGTACGGAATGAACAAGCCAACGACGAGACCTGAGCAACATAACTACGAGACAGAAACATTCCCACGGTGAGATATAAACATACCAACGAGGAAGCGCTCGAGTATTATACGAAATACTCGACCGCTCTAACGAAAACAAATCGAGCGGAAGTCGCAAAATTTGTGAAAGGAAAGATTTAGCCAACGATGAGACATAAGTAAACCAACGACGAAGCATTCGAATATTGTACGAAATACTCGAATGCTGAAACAAAGAGACAAATAGAATGAAAGAAACAAAATCTGGAAGAAGAAAAATAATTAGAACCTGAAAGAAAAGATAATTAGTACCTGAAAGAAGAAAATATCGTTAAATTATTTAAGAGAGTGGACAATGGCCACTGAATAGCCATTGAACTAGCCAACGATGATATATAA